CTGCAACAGAATACAAAGAATAGAAGTCCTTTCATCAGCTTGCTTCTCTGTTTTGAGAACACCTCTGCTTTAAAAGTGACAGGATTTTAGCGTGCTGTGGAAATGTGTTTTGCTTCACGTTGCTTTTTAAAAAGAGTATAATTTCACTTAAAAGGATTTTCCTCTAAGTGCTCAGAAATTGTAACTGGTAACACGCTTATCTTACTAGCCAGCTTAAAGCTGGATTTGCCAGAAGGCTTTGAACAAGTAAATGTGACCGAAAACTTGTGTTAAAAGACAATTGTTTCTTTAACTTCTTCTAAGTGGCTCAGATCCTGGTTAAAGTTCACAGGCTGGGAGACTTTCTTTTCCCCTTTCCATCTTAGGGATCCAGCTCTCCTTGCAGCTGGCCATAAATGAGGACCAGGCTTTGCCACTCCGTGCTTTCACAAGGTATCGTTAGGTCAGCAAAGCCATCAATTAGGCTGTCTGAAGTTTTATCACCAGCGCAGCAGCAATAAGTGCCGGCCCAGAAAGACTTCTGCTCTTCTACAACTCCTGCAGTTGGAGCCTGTAAAGGCAAGGGTCGTTTGGAGGTCAGTGCCAGCTGGGGGCCACCTCTGTGTCCAAGCGGGGACACCCCGTGCAAGGCGACCGCCTGCCTGCCCTCAACTCAGGCACCTTTCAACTCGTTAGAAACCCCCAGTCACAGGTACATGTGGTTAATATTAGGCCCAAAATAACCTTTTTTTTTAATCTCAAACTGGGGTGGTTGCCGAGGCTTTTGAGCACTGGTAAAGGCAGTTAGTTGGCTGCAGAGCCTGGATTTAATTTTGCTAGTAATCCAAAAATAAGTGCTTGCATATTTCTTATTAGCTAATGCGTAGCAATCCACATCAGCACAAGCTAAGCTAAATTAATTTCCCTAAAATAATTTCAAAACTTGCCTATTCACAAAATATTTTTGAAAACAGGGCAATTTTCTATCACTCAGGAGCCACACTTGTTTTTGTCCTTTCTCTTTGTGTTTGAGAACACTTTGGAGCCTTCGTGCAGGTTTTGTGTGCTATTTCACAGCTCAGGCTTTCGCCTGGTGACCCTTAAGGAGTGCTAATGAAGTCGAATACTAGCGTTTAATCCTCTTCAGAAATACTAACATGCCCATCATCCAAAACAGCCTCCAATAATTGCCATTGGGCCCGATCCAACGCCTAGCAAAGTCTTTCAGTCAGCTAACTGAAAACTAAGTTCATCTGCTCATTTAGTAAATTGCTAGCCTTTATATAGCATCAACTCTGCAAGGCCTTTTGTCATGCTTCCCTCACTCCCTCCCACCCTCTGGTTAAATTCCTTCGCAGATAATAAAGGACGGTGGCACACCTTCGATTGCATCTTCTGTAATCACAGTGGTGGAAATTTCATTAGACAGATGCATAAATGCTACAAGTAACACTAAAGGGCTCTTTTGCATCTTTCTGTTTACATCCAAAAGACATTCTTTATTCTTTAGGAAAAGTACCATTCGGTTGTCAGAAATGTCATCCTGCCTCAGAATTAGTCATGACTTCAGCTATTAAAATAAAAACTCAGACACAGTCAATATATTTGTTTATTCCCTTCTGACTGTGGCACAGTGAAGGCATCACTGCCAGTTCTGTGATTTTGAAGTGTGTTTCCGTCCTCAGAGACAAAGGTCCCCGATAGGACTTATTTGCTGAGTTACTTTCCAGTAATGTTGCTGTGCTGACCAAATGGAGCCTGACCTGAACCTCCTCCATCCAGCACGCCTTTTATCAGCTAAAGTTAAGGCCAATAGAGATTAACAGGAAAGCCTGATAAGACTGTTTTCTCTTCTCCTATGAGCTTCTAATGGTGTATACAGATGGCAAGGTTTTAAAGAATGGAATGAACACTTATTTAGGCCTGTAAAAAATCACAGAAACACCCCCACACACACGCACACACTTTCCATCTTACTAACCCCTTTTCTTCAATCAGGCCAGTCTTCAGGAAAACCAAATTGGTCTTTCGGTTTTTTTTATTTAAACCCCAACCACTTTTATTATTTACATCTGGTGGTCCCCTTATTTATGTCCCTCTTCACTTCCCTGCATATACACCCTTGCTCACAGGGCTGCGAAGCATTATGGGCCTCAGCTCTCAGCAGGAGAACTCCAAACTGTCTTCAAACAAATAATTAAGGGGAAGGTTAAAGGTTCACCCAGAGGTCATATCTTTGGATACTCCTCAGAAAGTTTACATTAGTAAGAAATGGGTGCCCTCTGAAGTGTTCTTTCAATGGGCTCGCACGACAAGGCAGAGCATTAAGAAAATTCTACATCCTTAAGGGTTTCAGGTAACATCTGCTTTACCTCTGAGCACAGAGATTGGGATACTGTGCTCCAGCCTTACATACTCGATAGTCTCCACAGACTAAGCCTTTGGGACGGGTGTTGAAAACCCCATCTTGCTCAGCCATTGACTCCCAGAGGAGCATGGCCTTATTTTATCCTGCTGATGTGAATAAAGCCAGTCTTTCACTGCAAACTCTACCTAGAGGCAATTCACTAGTTGTTTTGGAAATGGGAGTTCAAGCCCTAAAAGAGAGTACTCCATATTTGTTTTCCTACCAAAAAAAAAAGAAAAGAAAGAAAAAAAAAAAGTGATAGCTCTTGGGTTTGATTTCCGATTTCATTATTTCTCCATTTTTCTTTTGCATATCTGCATAAGAGCAGGTGCAAGCAATGCCCTCTAGACCAGCGACAACTTCATCTAGAGAGAAGATACACTGATGTATACTTGAAAAGACATAGGAGAACAGGCTTTAGGCATCCAGGTAAATTTGAAATTCCATTTCTATCGCTCCTCTGAAAAATCTTGTTCATAAACAGCATCAGTTATACCCACCAGTGGGTATGTCTGAAAAATGACACATGAAATTATTTATATTTGCAAGATTGCAGGTGCAAACCAGACATACATTTCAGGTGAAGCTAAAAATGGAATCCTAGTTTCACTAGCAGTAGCTACATCATGTAATGCATCAGCACAATTGGTAGACAAGGGCATAGAATGCAGTGTTTGTGCATTATTATTTATTCCTTATACTGCCCCATAAATATGCACAGTGCATAATAGAGACGTAGAAAACAGAGTCCCTGCCCTAGCCTTTACGTTTTTTGAGGGCTGTTTTTGAATCCCTCAGAGAGCCATATCCAGGGCCTAAGTAAAGCAAAATACAGCCTTTCACACAGCACTTCAGTTTGTGCTGCAGAAACACTGATGTTATTTAGGCACAAATGTCTTCAAAAGGCATTAAGAGACAGGTGAAAAAAGAGAACACCAATGCCACTGTTTTCAGCATTATCTGGAACCCTATAAAAGAAGAATTCACAGCTCTGCTCCTGACACTAATTGCTTACCTTGTTCATACCCTTCACCCAGAGGCCAAAGATTGAATGGCCTTAAAAGATGAGTAAAATCTATCAAAAAGACATGGACTTCTTTGTTTCTCTGCTGTTAATAGTAATTCCTATTATTTGGATGAGAGCAGCAGTTAGAGGACCCAATGAAGCTCAGTCTTACTCCACCCCATGCTTCACAAGCACACTGTCCAAGAGAACTCAGTCTGAACAGATTTCCAGGCAAAGCCTGGGGGAGAGGAGAGACGCCTTCTCCCTGTTTGCGGAGGGGAACAGAGACAGAAGGAGATTAAGTGACAAGGCCAAAGTCATACAAGAGATCTTTGGCAGAGCCACACACCCAACATAGATTTCCTCAGTCCTCTTTCAGCGCTCCTACAATCTGCTATCCATATGCTATCTTTCCTTTGTTCCCCCAGCTTAACAGTCAGGCACACTGGCAGGGGACTGCAAAGAGAGCTCACATTGCCACTGTTTGTGCCTTACCTGCTGCGTAGATAAAGAGGGGTCATCAGCCTCCAGGGCTGTGAGGCAATACCTTCACAAACTCTACATTCATATGGTATTTGGTCCTCATTCCAGAATGATAAATGAGGTGTGTAATGTTGAGAAATACATGTCATTGACATAGCAGGCTCAATAAAAAACTCATTCCCAGCATTTTGCAAATGACAGATTACCAACCTTGCTTATTCACATAATAGCCATTTGAATCGAAAGGTTTTTTGCATCTTGTATTTTTTCTTTAATTGCTAGCTAAAGCAGCCACATCTATTTCCTATAGCCAGAGTCTGTCTTTCTCACACAAGTAGTTCTGGTTACTTTTGCGGGACAGTTCATGAAAGTACAAATGAACAAGATCTGGCTCAAAATGTACAAGAACGTGGACTTTTAAAGCAAGGCATTTCACTTTTATCTGCTTACAGCAAAACCCAGTAGTGCAATAAAGGTGCACTAGTGAATATGCAATGTAGTCTGGTGATTTGGTAGCACTGGTCCTAATTGGTTCCTACCATCGATAATTAGCATGACAATATAATCTAAATATATGCATTTAATCACATCTCTTCAAACAGAGACTTGGTTTTCTTTGTCCAAAATAAATATGCATTCTGTACTTTATAGGAAGTCCTGTAATTAATCTTCTTTATATATTTATCATATTTTATCTCAAGTCATATAAAATGATGTTAAACTCAAATTTGCATAATACATTTTATTCTTATAATAAAATAATGTTCTGATAAAATCATAGAGACATATTTCTGCAAAGTGCAAAGGCAATAAATAGCAAATAGTGATCTCTTAATCTGCTTCTTCTAATCTGGCACACTCAAAAATAATTTTATTGTTGTTTCCACTGTCTTTTTTATACATAGTGTACATATATTTTGAAGCACCGTGACCGCACCATAACTGAATCTGCTTAAGAGCAGTTCTTGAAATGAACTGTTAGTGACTGTACTGATTGGCAATCAGAATCAGAAATCTCCAGCTTTACTTTATGGCTTTAATGGAAAATTCACTGTAAGGATGTAGGGTCACAACAGGTCTTGTTCAGAAGGATAGAGTACATGAATGGTCAGGAAACTATAACTC